GAAAATTCCTTCATTAACTTTAATACAAATGTGACAAGCTGAAAATTCACAAACTCATATATTTCATTTAATATTGTAACTAAACTTCTCTTGTAGAGAAAATTAATACTAACAAAAAGTATTTATTTTGAGTGTTCTTTTTCCCTTCAAAGTTTGTCGGTGTAATTTTTTAACACCCTGTATATATGTTTATCGAATATCACGTAAAAAATATGCATAATTTTTTAACAAATATTATAAGTTAGAAAGAATTTAGTTATATAAAAGATTTTTCCAAGAGAAATTAATCTTGAAGAACATTATGTCTGAATTATTTTTTCAAGCTTACTTTATCTTAATAAAATACTTGAGACTTGATTAATATTTAAAGGTAAATAATAAAGTAAGAAAACAAATGGCGTCTAATTAAGTTCTTGCTAAAAGGAAAAATTCTATATTTATCTAAGAATTATTTGGTTAAACTGTTCTCACAAATTTATGTATATATTATATATAATACGTATACATTAAATTATGTATGTAAGTATTTTAAAGCATAAAGTTAAATGATTTATTTATTAGATGTAATTAATGTATCGTGAGCATATTCTTATTTTACTCGATTCTGCGATTCGATTATTTTCAATCCAAATTATATTTAAATCATCGAAAAGTTGAATGAAAAATCGTTATACAAAATATATTTTTTATATTTGACTCTAAATATAAAAAAAATAATTATTGTCCGTGTAACAATTGCAACAAAACAATAATTTATAATTAAGATTTCATGTCACTTTGCATCTTATTTAATTTCACAAACAATTACGCGAAAAATGCAGAAATGATACACAAATATAATATTATTAGACGAATATTTTAGAGATAATAAAAACACAGTTTATTGTTTTTTCAATGTATGGTTTAATATAAAATGTAGTTTATAGTTTAAATAAACCGTGAACAGATGGTTTAAACATTGTTTAATAAATCTAGAAAAGTTATTACAATAAGATATATTAATGAGAAAATAGAACGTGTTATAAGATCAAATAATTTTAAAATTTAGAATGAAAAAAAGGTTATTGCAAGATTTCAATTAATTTTTAATTAACTTAACCTTTATAATTAAGATAAAGAAATAAATATCTATTTTATTTATATTTTTGTATTTATATGCAATAATAACAAAAAAATTTTTTAATTTAATTATATCTTTTTACTGTAATGAGAAAACACAAATAGTGAATACACTTAATAAATAAACTTTTTTGTAAACAAATATAAATTGTACAATATATAATAATAAAATAAAATAAAAATAAAATTAATAATAAAATAAAAATTATATTAATTGTCATATTTTAACCCCTTTTTTCTATAGATTTGAATTCATGCTTTAATATCTTTCATTATAATTATATTTTAATATTATAATCACATTTTCTTTTCTATTCTTAATTTCGCAATAATAAATTTGTTCTAGAAAACATTGAATTAAATTTTAATTAAGTTTAATTTTGTTTAATTTAATGATATTGTGTTTGTAACATATCTACGCAACAAGTGCTTATTAATGAATCGTCTAATAAATAATTTATGTATCTTTATATTTATATATACATATATAAATCACAAGAAAGATGAATAGATGTGAATGAAAGCATTTAAACGGATGATGCATCAAAAAGCTCGTAGTTGGCAGAAGGAAGATTTTCCCTGATGAATTTAGAAGGGAATCTATCCTTATCGAAAATTTAAATGGAAGTTTTATTACGGACTTACTTAATAGCGCAATTAATCCTATAACTCTGTGCGGGATAATTAGGAACCACTAATGCTCCTTCCGACGCTAATGTCTCTTCTGACAGTTATGGGAGAAAAAGCTTGAATAATATTTGACGAAAATAATTTTTTTTGCATTACTCATTAATTTAACATATAATTTAATAAGAAGCATTTATTAAAAATTAAAATGTTTTTATCACATTTATACTGATTGTATAATTATTATTATAATATCTCAAGTAAAAATATATTAATACAGCTTTGAAGAGAAATATTAAAATTATCATTTTTAATTGCAATAAGCATATAATAGAGGTATGAAATAAAAAAACAATAGTTGTCTAAAATTTAATGTTTATTTTAAGAAATTAACAATTTTTTAATTCTTTATTTTGTTTAATGTTACTGCAATTAAAACTGTGTCTTATACTTTTATCCAAGGCTATATAAAATGTGCACTTGTGCTTCTTATTATGTATACTTTCTAATTAATATTAAATTAATTTAAACATTTTTTTATATATAACAATATAAAATTATATAAATATATAAAATTATACATATAATTGCAAAATTATATATGAAATATGTCTATACATAATTAGGTAAAAGTGTTTTTATATATAATTATATAAATATATATATATATATATATATATATATATAATAAATAAATATTTCTTTATATATATATATATATATATATAATAAATAAGTATTTCTTTATATGTATAAATATATATGTTTCATATATAATTTGACATAATTACATGATGATATGATATGATAAATATGAACCCTTACAATTTATATATAAATTTATATAATTATATATAAAAATAGACATACATATTTTACATATAATTTACGATTATATGTATAATTATACAATTATTTATATATAAAAATTTTTTTCCCGGGTCTCGAGAAATTGTCACACATAGAATTTGCAGACGGGCTCAGATTGCGTTGCGTAAGACGCATACATATTGTATATGGATATTAAATATTTGAGTGCTCCGTAATTGCCTGAGATTTCTCCGACGCCGTTCCTTAATTCCCAAGAATTTCAGTTTCATACAGATTTAATGCAGGATAAGTTAGCAGAGGGGTAAACCGCGGGACCACAGAGTGATTACGACGCATTAACCTGATTAAATAATGTTTCGCGTCAGCGATGACTATGTAGTGAAATCTTTTAAACGGATTTGTAGTAATGCGTTCCCATAACATTGACATAAATGTTAACGCGAGAAATGTAGAATCACCAAGTGATGGCACTTCTTCCGAATACGTGAGATTATTATACAATATACGCCGGCGAAGGAGAAAGAGAGAGAGAGAGAGAAAGATAGAGTCTAACTTGTCTACTCAACTCGTCGATATTAACTCTTGGTCGAGTTGGGAAGTCATTGGGTCTAACTTGAGCTATCGATGTATAATTTGACATGGATTTAACCAAGATCGCAACCCGTGGTTACTCAGCTTGCACGAAAATTGACTTACTTGGAGTGTGCTCTTTTATATTCCTCGATCGATGTGTTACAAACTAAGCACTTGGAATAATTTTGTAAAATATTTTAAGCAACCTGGTCTGTGCATTTGATTATTTTTATATTACATATAAACGCTGCTCCAATTATTATAATAGAATTGCTACGTCTAGATTGGGATTGCAGTCATTTAATTTTGATTATAAATTATTCACTTTTCGGTCAGTCCATCTTTATAACTTTTTATGCCGAATATTGCGAGGAATAATTTATGTAAAAAAAATTAATATACATACTTCCATTTAAAAAATAGAGACGATTTTGAAATCTCTAAGATGTTTTCATCTATCGAATTTTTTGCGAGTTTTAACATTTATATGTTTAATTTTTTAACTCAAAGTCGCTTTCTACGATATTTTGATTTATAGATTAAAATAGATATCCTACATTATTTGCATCATTATATGATGTCATACGATATGTCAGAGAAATAGATGGTATAATAGATAATCGTACTATTATTTTGAGAAACCTCAAATGTCAAATTTAACCGAATAATAATATAAAAAATTACCTTGTATATAATAAATTGTACGATTATCTATTACCATCTATATCTCTGACATATCGTATGAATTTATATATAGCGAAATATAATTAATATAATATATTAATAAAATACATATATATAATAAAATAATAATAATATAAAAAGAAAATAATAATAAGACAATTAATAAAATATATTATAAAATAAATTAATAAAAATATATTGTAATATGAAATAATAATAATAAAATAATTAATAAAATATATTAAAATAAATTATATATGTATAAGCATATACATATACATATACATATACATATAATAAAAAATGTTTAGCTTAAATCGGAGAAAGCCATTGATATTTGATCGCAAAGTGACTGCAAAATGTAAATGACACCTCTATCTTTGAAATACGAAAGTGCTTCAAGAGAGGAGAAAGAGAGATAGAGACGAAACGAAACACATCGTTGCTTGCCAATCCCGTAAAAGGGTCATCCGTAACGAGTTGTCCATCGTTCGGAAGTATCGTGTAAAATTGAAATATTGGCGAGAACGATCATGTGTAACCGTTAGTGTGAAATAAACATCTGATTATTGACGCGCAATGTGCCGATTTGGATTATTTTCACCATTATATGATATGTCATACAATATGTCAGAGAAATAGATGATAATAGATAATCGTACAATATTATTTTGGGAAACATCAAATGTCAAACTTAACCAAATAATGATAAATAAATAAATAATATAAACGCGCACAAACATTTCCGAAAATATAAAAGGATAATTTTTATTGCTTATCGATCATTTCTGACAATGTAATATATATTGCAGAGATTACGTAACAAACAGAGATCATATGGTTAAAAATATCGAATGTAATTCACGACAACGTTAGGCGAAAAGTTTTCTTGAAATGGCTCCGATAAATCTTTCGGTATTACTCTGTCTTTCTCTTTCTCTCTCTCTCTCCCTCTCTATGAATTATCCGAAAAATCTTGATATACTTCGTATAAAATGCCGCGAGAGAGTTCATGGTCGTCGCATACCTCAGTATCTTCTTCTTACATATTTTTAAAGGTATAAATTTCAATATTCTAATTGTGTTCAATTTGATAAAAATGTAAATTTAGTCCGAAAAAAATGTTAATCTGGTGTAGCATATTGCATAATGTGAATGTAGCTTACCCGTGATATTAAGTATAATGTGCTGCACGTTGTTGCACTCTCGGTTGACCGCAAGATAAGTAGCTTCGCACTTATAGAGACCCTCGTCCTCTAGCTGAACCTTGGGTATCCTTAGATACGTTTTCGACGAATTCGCCGAATATTCTATGTCGGCCCTGAAACATTAGTAACGGCGTTTATCAGATGATTTGAAAATTAAAACAAGAAATATGCGATGTACACTCTCACGTAAGAGTAAGAAAACTATGCTTAATATCGTACCACTTGTATTTCTCTACTGATAAATGCTGCACTTTCTTGAAAATTGTCTTAATTGCTTCTCTTTTTTACAATATGACATTAGTCTAATTGTAAAAGTGCGCAAAGTAATCAGTTTATTAATATAAATTAGTTTAATTTTTATCTATCTAAAAAATTATTAAGTTATAAATTTTAATTTTAATTTTATTAATAAAAATTTTTGTAAATTTTTAGATTCCCATTCAAAACAGCCATTTTTCTTCCATGAAATCCTTATTTAATATATTCCCAGACATTAATATTTACAAATATGTAACTTTAATTTAAAATGTAATCTGTCATTATGATTTTAAATTTTGTATTATTTTATAATTCATGTGCATTTTCTGTTCAAATTGTAATTTAATTTATGTTCTATTTTTAACGTTTTCTTAAAAATATTTTATTTAAATTTTTATGTATAATAAAATAAATAATTTTAATAAAATAAAATTAATATTCTTTTTCAATAATCTAGTCTTTATAAAGTTAATGAGTTGTGCGTTCAATATTGGAAATTATTATTTATACATTTCCATTAAAAAAAGGATTATATTATCAAAAAGTTTTCTTTATTTATTATTACAGCTAGAAGTCTGTATAAACCACATGATTTATTCAATTTTATTTCCTAAAATAATCTTATCTAAACATATAAAGCTTTAAAAATCCGATGTTTCCCTTGATTTAAACATTAAATAATAATTTTCCATTTTTGTATCCATAAAATTTTCATAACGTTTAAATGTTTAAATAATTAATACAATGAATGTGGAAAGTTGAATAAACTTGCAATTATAGCAAGCAAATCGTGTAATAAAAAATGAAGAAATATTTATTCAATTAATTTTAATTTCAGACAAAAGCATTTCGCCAAGTATAACATACAAAGTGTCCCATAGGAATATGCTGTAACTAATCAGCTGTCATTTTTTAATGTATGTATAACAAAGGTGCGATTACAATTTGCTCACTCGCTATAATAGGTCGATTTAATTTTTGTATTAATTAATGTTGGCGTTGATAATTATAATATACAGTTTCCATCGATCGCGAACACACGTCGATTGTTTGAGCGCTTTATTAATGACGATCGCGCAGATATTATGCCGGGAATATATGGTTAATGCCGACGCAAGTATAATGACCTCACGTAATGTCAATCTCAAATTGCGATTAACACCGGATAATGAATCGGGCAATCAATGAGATTAATCTGCTCGTTATCCCAACTGAGCAACTGTAATCCATTTACGACGATAAGGTGGCGATGTTATCGTCATTATAACGCACACTATTCGCTTTGATTCTATTTACATATTATCTACACATGTTATATATTTATATACAATGCATATGTATGCATGAACATGCGTATTACATTTTCGATATATTAACGAGGTCTAATAATCATCGAATATGACTGAAATAATTATATAATTTTTATACATAAAGAATTCGGTCAGAATGTTTTTTCCTCAATTTTATAGAGCATTTTCTTCGAATTTTTTTATCAGAAGAAGAATGACGCAAATATGCCACAATACGTCGCAATTAATACAATAGTTTTCGAGATATAGATTTTTAAAAGCTTATATATATATATATAAAACTGTTTAATATAATATATTATAGCATCAATTATACCTGCATTATTTTTTAATCATGAAAATTATTGAATTGTATTTTTCAAATTTATATATATATATATATTATTTTGTTCAATCTAACCGAATATAATTACGCACACAAAGCGAAGTTATATTATTCTTTGATAATGAAATCTCAAAAATTGCGATGCATGCATTGCGATAATAATTTTATACATGCATTACAATTTTCAAGGTTTTATTATCAAAGAATACCATATAGCTTCGCTTCGTGCACGTAATTATATTTGATTAAACTAAACAAAAAGAAAAAATGTATAAAAAGATACGCATATACAAAATAGTTCTCAAACAATACAATAAAAATTCGGCAAATTAAAATTACGTACATAATAGAAATTCAATAAATTAAAATTATATACATAATAGAAATTTGGGAATTAAAAATTAGTACATAATAGAAATTCGGGAATTAAAATTATGTACATAATAGAAATTTAGCGAACTAAAATTATACATATAATAGAAATTTGGAAAATTAAAATTATGTACAAAATAGAAATTCGGCAAATTAAAATCATGGTCATAGCATTAAGCAACTGTCATTACGAAGATTAACAATTTGACAGTTGTAAAATAAACAATAGAAATGATATCGAAGGAGTACGCAAAGAGCGTACTTGTGTTGTCTATAGTATATTTAAAAAAATTTTAATTTTTAAACATTGATTTCTCAAAAATGATTGGTAAATAGTGCATCATAGTTTTTTCTTAAAAAATCTAAATAAAAATCATATTCTTAAAGGGATGCTGACCATGACTGTTTTACCGACTTTGAGTTCAAGGGCTTTTCTTTTTATTGGCTATATAGATTGAAAAATCCTTCTCCACAATTAAAGTACTGATAATAATGAACGGGGAGCGCTGTAATAAATAAAAGTTAAAAAATTACAGTCTTTTATCGGCCTCTTGCATCAGCTCATAACAATATTTATTTAATACAAAAGTTCTGCAGTTTATTTGTGCACAAAATATGGCGCTCTCAATAGAGATGACATGAATTAAAGAATAATACAGAAAGAATAAAAATGAGATTAAAAGCCTGTATCAAAAGATTCGTACTTGAAGTAATTATGTATGTATATTTGCGTACGGAATCGATGTCGAGGCATAAAACAGCAAAAATTAGTTGCCGGACAGCGCTCCCTATTTATTATTATATGAGTACTTTCATTGTGGAGGATTTTTCAATCTGTATATTCAATAAAAAAGTGAACCTAACTTAAAATCGGTAAAACAGAACAACGGCAGTATTCCCTTAATACAGTGCTTGAGAAATTCCTTAAATACTCGTGATCAAAACGTGACGGCAGCTTTGTGAGTATTAATGTATAAAGAGATGTGTCGAAGGTCTCGTCATTTATATGTCGTAAATGGCGAGGGCAGATGCACGGAGTCAATGTATATGGGTATATACACATGGGTAGTGCTCGATATTCTGTCAATAGACGTTGAATGTGTTCCATAGACATACATAAGTACGTAAGTCGGTACATTCAACGTCTCTATTGAATCTCGCCGTAACTCGATACAATTTACATCTCCATCAAGTTGATTGCTCACAACCGCCGTTACGTTAAGATACAAAGACACTTCACTAGAACGAGCATTGCGAAAGAACAGTCGAAATAATTTAGATGAGTCTTTTTCTCTTTTCTTTTTCGTAAAATAGCAAGCATACGAGAGTACTTTATTCAAAGTAACGAGGGAAATAGCGATTCTCTTTTAAAACACATTCGATATATATACATACACATCTACTATTTACTATATATAGGATGTAGTAGTAAGTCTGTTCATTTGGATATCTCAGCTATTTTTAGATATACCAAAATATTCTAATTACGAAAATGATGTAGTATCAGAGTCATAATATGTTAATAATAATTTTTCTGGGGTGAAGACATTTCTGATATTTCGGATTTATTATTTTCTTAAATGGAACTACCATAATCTTTTTACATAAATTGATTCCTCGTAATATTTGGCGTAAAAAAATGTTAAAGTAGAATAATTGCATGAAAAATGAATAATTTACGAGATATTTTATTTTGACATAAAATAAGAAAATTTTGTAAGATGTTTTTATTATTTTTCTATAATCTTACATTAATAATTTTCTGCTAAAATATTGAGATAATCAATTGCAAGAAAAACATATTTAACAATTGATTAAATAAAATTGCAATTTGCAACTAATACTATTTTTTTAAATAAGTATTTAAGTATAAGAAATAATAGTAAAAAATAAGGATTAAAAAAGTAAAAATGCAAAATAAAAATATAAAGATATAAAAAACTTATTTTTATTTTAAAAATAAGGATTTAAAAAGTAAAAATGCAAAATAAAAATATAAAGATATAAAAAACTTATTTTTACTTTAAAAATAAGAATTTAAAAAAGTAAAAATGCAAAATAAAAATATAAAGATATAAAAAACTTATTTTTATTTTAAACATGACAATTTTCCAATTCTAATTTTATATGTGTCTAAAAAACAGAACATTTTGCATTTTTTAAGAGGATGCTGGAGTAACGACCAAACTCCGATAGATTAGCACCACACATATCTAAACATATGCACGTATATCTACAACACATATGCGTGAAAATTTTCTGCACCGTTTTCTTATTTATTAGGCTTCTAAACTTATATCTAAAAGTTTACTCATACTTCTTTATTCAATTTCTAGTTAGAACCTATCTTATTTTGTACGTACAAACAGCAAAACTTTTATATTAAACAATTATTCTTTCGACCTGACGACAAAATTCGATAAAGAAATTTTAGTTTTCAAATTTTTTCTTGTTTTTAACATAAAATCGGTAGGTTCCCACTTTGTTTCTGTACGTACTTTAATCGTGGAAAAGAATTTGTTATTCTATTAACGCAATAAAAACTTCTCGATTGTGGAAAAATATAATCGGTTTAGTCGATAATGTAGACCAATTAGGATCCCCTGGGAAAATGATTCTATTTTGTATTTTCTATTTTAAATAGATTTGGATACCCATTTTGCACATCTCTGTTATATGTGATATATACATAACAATATATTATTCCCCCAAATCCAAATTCAGAATATCGGATTGAAATAATTTTCAATAATATATCACTGTAATGCAGCCGCTTTTATTTCTCGCTTTTCAAATAAAGCGCATCGCGCGTGTGTGACGAATTATTGTTTTTATACAGATCGCGAGT